ATTAGCATAAATAAAAGTAGAAAGGGCCATTGACCAACTCGGGTAATTCGTGCCATCCAACTTTACTAATGTGGTGTGTAAACCACTCATACCAAAGGAACCAGTAGCAATAGTCGGGGTAGTCACCCCTGAACGAACATCTGAAGTTACTGAATCAGTAGACATATCCACCAATTAAAAAGAGAACACTGTAATCTATCATATTGTCACCAAATCCACCAAAAAAAATGTGAACACCACCAACAGCAACTATCAATCACACTACAAGTCACCACACCAACTTCCACTACCACATCAACCGAGATCTGCTCACCACATCAACCACCACTACACTTTAATTAAAAACAATGTCTTCACATCGACAGGTGCAAGACAAAGAAGAAACACGAGCAAAAAATCCCATAACCAAGACGGATCGGTAGAGAGAAGCAACAGGAACATGACCAAAATTTTCTTCACATCTCGTTGCCTCTCTCTGCGAATCACATCACCGGAAGAGGCGCTGAGTCGCGCTCTGGAGGCGCGCTGAGTCGCGCGCGCGGGGGGGCGCGAGGTCGCGCCGAGGAGCGCGCGAGGTCGCGCTGAGGCGCGCGAGCTAAGATGCGCGAGACGTGTGGGTTCTTCGCTGGCCGTGAACAGTAGGCTAGGGTTAGGGCTTAATTTAGGATTAGGATTAGGGTTTTACTGTGGCTCTGATACCATGTAATTTGGTAAAAGAGATCTATTTTATTATTGAGATAAACCAAGTATATATAGGCTTAGGGTTAAGCCTTGATACAAAGACCTAAATACCCTTTCCTAAAATAAACCCAACTTGCTAATTATCTAATAATAAAACTAACAGAAATCATCACATATTTCCTATTAATCTTGACATTTGATTGATTTCATCAATCAGTTGTTGTTTGAAATCCCTTTTCTTTATGGAAGAAGATGTGAAGGGTTTTAATATCGTGTCATAGAGTGAAATGAGAAAAGAGTGACTCCTATGGGAACCATTGATTAGTTCTTGAACTTTAATTTGTTTCATTGAACATGTTCGAATGGCACAGTTAAAAAATATCATTCACTCCTTAAGTTTTCTATTACACTTTTATGTGGATCTCCAAGTCTAGTTGGCATTAGATGTATGGCAAACCCTCATGGAAAAGCAACTCAAGTGACAAGTCATCATCTCTTCTTCACTCTGAAAGCTGATTACTTCATTAATGTCGATGTACAAAGCTTTAGATACTTCATCTCCTTTCATGTTTTGTAAGTGCACATAAAGGCTCATGTTGAATACGACAGTCCGAAATTTACATCAACGAAAATAATATAAAGAGAATACTCACAAATACATATTAGTTGATTATGAACTTTATGTGGAATGCGTTTTCCAATTTCACTTGAGTTGATAGAAGAGTCGTCTCAAGAAATAAATTTCTAATTAAGTGAATTCGAGAATCATAATCTGACTTACTAGCAATAAGTGACACTCTATGTTTTGTTGTTAGGATGGGTATATCATTGCCAATTTGCCATGCCAGAGAACATTGTGGTTCAACGACATTGTAGATTGATTCATATGTCTCAAAGTCCCCAGTTGGAATTATAGTGGATTGTAAAATGCATGTGAAGGAATTCGAAAAGTACACTTGTAAGAATGAACTGGGTGGAGACGATATCAGGGTGATTCATGAATAAATTTGGGTTGAACTGTAACACCCCGGGTCTACACTGTGTAATATTATCCGCTTTGAATCCACTGACCCTTATGGCTGTAAAAACGCGTTACACAGTATAGGCCACCCAAGCCTTATCAACTAGCCCGGAACCTTATCAACTAGCCCGGAACTTCTTCTCTAGGTGATGTGGGACAAGAGAGGTACCCCAGTTCCCTGCGCACGTCCGGGGTAGTGGCGCGGACGCACCGCCATCCCTCGTCCCCGTGCTCCGCCGCTTGGCTTGGGCCGTCACATGAACGGACCAAAATATTTTATATATTTGTAGCATAAGTTTTGTCATATTAATGCATTTCGTTAATCTGTTATTTGGATCTTGAGGAGAAGTTTCAATTGCATGCACTTACAGCTCAAGACCTACGGATGGAACGTAAGTGATCGCCGACACATTTTCTAGGGTTGCTTTTTCCACATTTTTTCAAATTTCATACCTTTTAAAAATATTTCGGAAAATGAATGAAAAACGGGAGGGGATATTTGGAATTCAAAATGTTGTGTCGGTATTAGGTGTCAAATATTTATCTGATTCGACATTGCCTGTGTTTAGACTGTACATTGGCAAATAAGTATTGCACAAACTCAAATCGGCATGACACGAATTGAAGCCGCGAAGATGTAAGTAAACCATTACCAAAGCTGACAATATTTTAAATAGCGACAGCAATGCTCGGGTGGAGTTGCCTAGCACAACAATGTAAGAACGAGGATTGGAATGTTGGGCGTCCAATCGGTGCTGGCATTTGGTTTAACTCTTGTTTATAATTAATACTACTATTTATCCATCCAGTCATAACCTTAAATTGGGGCTGTGCATTTCATGCATTTCGTGCATCTCCAATTACAGGAATCTATTTGGACCTTATCATGGGACATGTGGTTGTGATCGTACAATTGGGACTTCGAGCATCAAGGATTTTTTCCGTGTGTTGAAACTTTCAACTCCATATTACTTCTGATTTTGTGTGTTGTATGACTTATTGAATTATCTTTTCTTTTTTTTCTCTTTTTTTTCTTCTTCTTCTCTTTTTTTTTTTTGGGGGGGTGGTGTGGGGTGTGGGATAGAGAGCATACTGGGATTCCTTCTCAAATCACTTGATCATGTGATACAATGTTCCACTTTAGTCTATTTCTGTGTAAGCTTTTGATCCTAGAGTAATGAGGTGGGGTTAGTCACTTACGTACTAAGCTGTTGGGCTTTTCTCTTCGCCGCTTATCATTTCGGATTCTTAAGAAGCTTCCAAGGCAAGAGAATGATGTCTGTAGCTATGAGTAAAGAAGTGAGTGTCTGCTCGGTAGCAGAAATAAGCAAACTACGAAGATATAATATAACAGGTGTCCAAGTAATCATACGTTGGGCTCTTGTAAATTGCAGTCACTTTCTATTTAATTGCTTCATTTTTCAAATCATAATCCTAATGTTAATATTTGACTCCTCCAATATTGTGCTGCGAAAAATTATATTTTGGTTAAGAACCGGTTGGCCGAGAATGTCAGCATGAAATAAATAGTTTGACAAAATGTAATCATGACATGCTTGTTTCAAATGTAATATCTCGTTTGTAATGCAATGACATGCAATCACCAAATTTCATATTGCAAATCGACATTCAGAAAAATCAATCCATGACATTCAATGAATGGATGTCAAATTTTTCGAAAAATGGAGCCGGTTCTACCGATGTCTTTTTTTTTAATATTTGAGAATAATTATTTCAAAATTATCACATACACTGAGTTTCTGTCCATCCGTCGACTGACCACACTCGAGGACTCCACTCATCTGGTTGGTTGGACCATTTCTGTATGTTGTTTTCATATTACTCTATGTTCACACACACATTAAACCTCTGTTTCCTCTGTTTGGCCACCTATTTGGTGCGAATTTGAATTGGTTTTTTAACTTATGAGGAAGGCCGTGGGTGACTTCCAGGCAAGTGGAACACAATAACAAAGTAATGGCAAGTGGAACATATATTAAGTTGTCCAACACATCCAACATCTAAAGAACACGCAATCATATAATATATTTCCGAGACGATCTCCTCGCCTTCGAAGACTTTCACCAAATATTTCCTCAAACTTAGCCCCGTATTCGGTGCTTAGTTTGAATGGCATTTTTTTACTGATGAAGGAAGGTTCCAGGTAACTTCCAGGCAAGTGGAACATGATAATGGCAAGTGCAGAATATATTAAGTTGTACAATACGTCCAACATCCAACTAACATGCAATAATATAATATATTTTCAAGACGACCTCCTCCTCTTCTCTCATTTTTCTTATTCTTTTCTTTTCTTTTTTCTTTTTCCCTTTTCCCCTCCATCGGTCATCACCAGACCTCGTCGATGGCCGTCGAAGGTCGCCAGCCACAGGCCTCAGGTGAGGGACACCCACGCTTGGGCTAGCAAGGGTCGCTCTCGCTGAGGCTAATGACCTATGCTGGCCTTTGACAAGGCCTGACAATAGCCGCCGGTGGTAAAAATGGAAAAAGATAAAAGAAAAAGAAAAAGAAGAAAAGAAAAGGAAAGGAAAGAAAAAAAAAAGACAAAAGTTCATAAAATTAATAAAAAATTGTAAAAACTGTCCACTTCAGCGCTTGCCGTGTCACGTAAGACGGTTGACGCTGACTAGACCGTAACGTCAGCGATTTTTGGCCAATTTTAGCTGGAAGGACTAAATTGACAAATCGTCAAAAATTTTGAAACTAAATTGGTAAATTATCAAAATATTTAGGACTAAATTAAGATAGTTGAAATATTTAAGACTAAATTGACAAGTTGTCAAAAGATTCATAATTTAATTGACGCAATTGAAATATTTAGGATTGAATTGGCCGCCATACAATATGTTTAGGACTTTTTAGACAATTTTCCCAAAAAAAGCATCACCGAATATTTATTCAATTGTGGAGAATCGTCCCCGAGAATTTATAGACGCGGTATCGAAAATAAAGTTCTCATAAAATGTTAAAAGTTATAAATTTAAGGAGAGAGATAAAAAGTGACTTACGTGCGGGATAATGACTAGATAATCTGTAGGCATGATGTGGCATGGAGGAATGTAGTTTGAGAAAATTGTTTCTGAAGGGATTTATATTTGAGAGTTATTTTCCTAGGCAATTCTCTTTTGAGAAATAAATAATAGTTTGATCGTGGATGGAACAAACTCACGCGTCCCCCAGACAATTCTATTAACAAAATCCTCGGGGATAAACGGAATCTCTTGTTAGCACGAGGAGCATGGGTGCATTGCTAGTTGGTTTTCTTTTCTATTTTGTTTCTCAAATCTCACTGAAAGCACATGGCATGCACCTTCCACACATAATGCAGAGCGTCGGTGGAGATCCCAGCAGGAGCACGTGAGTATTGCTCGTTAGTTCTTTTTTCTATTTTTCTTTATTAATATAGAAGGCAAGTCAAGTCGTGCTGGATTTCGAGTTTCGATCAAATCACCGGGAGTATGTGAGCGTTGCACGTGATTGCATGTGAGCATGTCAGTCTTTGCTCGTTGGGTTCCGCACACCTTTCGCATAATGCTGCGGAAATTTCGCGTGTAATGACTGTTCTTTCCGTAGCATGCATTCGCAGCGGTTTGATTAGCATGAAGAGTCTTGGACCGTTGGATGGCAAGAGCTCAGCATTGTTCAAGCACGCATATTAGTGAATGTTGTGTGCTGGTAATCCCACATTGAAAGCTGAAAATCAGCGGAGATCTCAGGGTTGTGTTGTTTGAGCACTCCTCAGGTAGTCCACGACTCCTTGCTCTTATGTGTTTCCTACTTTGATTGCTCCATTTTCTTCTGATTAAGTAAGGGGTGTGAGAGTTCTTTTATTTTCGTTTGAATTAACCGAGTTCTGAGAGACATTTGTTCAATTCGCAGATCCAGACTGTGAAATCTGGCTTTCTTTTAACGCTGAGCTCGATCAATCTCCTATTTTAAAACAGAATAAGGATCTCTTTGGTCAATCACTTCATGATGTATATCCAATCAAGAAGAAGGAAATTGATCTCTCCCTTCTCTTCCTTTCTCTCCAATTCCTTTCTTCTCTTTTCCCTTCATTTCCCTCTCAACTTAAATTGCCAATCCAATTGCAAAAGAAAAGCACCCACTCATTCAGAAGATCCGAATTCTGGAGCATCTTCCTCATCGACCCCTCTGCATGGAGGAGGTGATTATGAAGGCGGAGAGGAACAACGGAAGGGAAATAACTATGAAGTGTTTTTGAGCTTTAGAGGGAAAGACACTCGTAAAGGCTTTACCGACTATCTCTACACTAGCCTTGTCGATGCAGGAATTCACGTGTTTAGAGACGACAATGAGCTCCGTGTTGGTGAGGAGATTGGTCCAGAGCTTCTCTACAACATTACACATTCCACGATCTCGATCGCGATTATCTCTGAGAACTACATTTCCAGCAAATGGTGCCTCTGCGAACTGGCTGAGATGTTGAAGTGCAAGAGAAGTAAAGGGCAGATTGTGTTGCCCATATTTTACAAAGTGGAACCCTCACAGGTGCGTCATCTTACAGGGAGATTGGGAGATGCTATAAATGCACATAAAAAGAATATCGACGAAATGGTTGTGAAGGAATGGGAAGTAGCACTCAAAGAAGTCGGCTCCTTGAAAGGATGGGAATCGGAGAAAATTGATAGCGGGTACCTTATTCTCCAACAAAACATTGTTTAATTTTTCATAAATAGATCTTTCTTGAAAAAGAATATACATATTGCTATCCTGTACTAATCTTCATTATTATTTGACAGGCATGAAGGAACATTGGTTAAAATTGTTGTCAGAAAAGTAATGGGCGAGTTAAAAAGACTTTTTCAGCTAAATGTTCCCGAACAGTTGGTGGGAATCGATGATCATGTGCAACAGATTATGAGCAAGATAGATGCTGAATTCAATGGTACAAGGATTATTGGAATTTATGGAATGGGCGGCATCGGTAAGACAACTCTTGCAAAGGTGTTATACAACAAGCTCTCTAGTCATTTTGACTATCGTAGCTTCGTGGCAAATATCCGAGAAACATCTCAGCGTAAGGGTATTGAATGCATACAAAAGCAACTCATTTCTGCCATAATAGGAAGTTCGTGTGATGTGTCTAATGTCGACGAAGGAGTCAGTGTCATCAAATCTCGATTTATGAGTAAGAAAATCCTAGTTCTTCTGGATGATATGGATGATAGTACTCATTCAAATGCTTTAGTTGGGGACGGAAGTTGGTTTGAAGCGGGAAGTGTAGTCATCATCACAACTAGAAACAAAAGCATTCTCGATGAAAGTAGGGCGGGCTACATGTACCAACTCAATGAGTTGTCTTTAGATCAATCATTGATTTTATTTAGTAGACATGCATTTCGAAAGGATTCTCCTCCTAGTGATTATGAGGTTATATCTCGTAATGTCGTATCTATTACCGGGGGGCTTCCATTAGCTCTTGAAGTTATAGGCTCATCCTTATGTGGAAAGAGAGAAGAAGTATGGAGAGATACATTAAACAAATTAAAGAAAGTGCCCCATAAGAAAGTGCAAGAGAAGTTGAAAATAAGTTACGAAGCATTAGATGACGAGGAGCAACAAATATTTTTGGATATTGCATGCTTTTTCATTGGATCACATAAACAAAATCCAACTTACATGTGGGATGCCTGTAGTTTTTTCCCGGGAACGGGAATTGAAGTATTGAGTCTTATGTCCCTAATTAAAATTGACAAATACGGCAATCTAATGATGCATGATCAATTGAGAGATTTGGGAAGGGAAATTGTTCGTCTAAAAAATCCAAAGGAGCCTCAAGACCGTAGCAGATTATGGATCAATGAGGAAGCCGTAGATGTGATTGACGGAAACAAGGTAAGAGTTTTCTCTACTTGTCTTAGTCAGTGAATGTGGTTCCATCTTCCCTTTCTTGTTTGAAATAAAAATAGTTGTCGGTCTTGACTCCCCAAAACTTGCTGCTTCTACTAGCAAAATAGCTCTTTTGATTAATTATTGTTCTTGCCTGATTCTAGAACATAATTGAGGAGCAATTTCTTGGTTATGGATGATTCATCTATATCTTTACCTAGTAGTATGGTGAAGAGGATACTCTCCTTTTGGTAATTTCAATGCAACAACAAAACTACAAAAGCAAAATGTTTGACATATTACGTTTAGAGAAAACCTGACATTTACAAATTGTTGCGGCCATGCTTTCCCCACATATTTGTTTGATGCACGTATTTGATGTTTGGATTTGTCTTTTGGTTTCTTGTGAGGCCTTTTTTTTATTTTTTATTTTTATTACTTATGAATTGTTTGGTATGATAAATGAGACCTCCAACCATTTGTGACGATTTAGCTACCTTGGTTCCTGTATTTTTTAAGTTGGGTTAAGTGTAACCCCTAAGTATTATTGGCTGTGCAATTTAGTCCCCCATCTATTTTTGCTTTTTCTCAATATAGTCCTCTAACTTTTACTTTCTTGTGCAATCGAATCCTTTGTAGTCAATTGTTTGTTGTGTTTGTTGACACCGTCAATTTGTTGATGTCACATTTGTATTTATTTATGATTTATGAGCAACCACGTAATATAACGCTTTAAACATTTATTATTTTCATTGTATAGACTTTTCATGATAGTGGATAGTTTCTTTCTATGAATCTGCTAATACCTTTTCTTTTTGTGACGATGGATAGTTTTTCTATTAATCTCCCGTTATTGTTTATTTGCTATATATAGGCTATCATGTTATAATAACAATTTGTTTATTGTTCTATTCTTAGTGAGCATCTTCTTTAGCAAAGATGTAGTTAACATTAATAACATCATCTTATTTTTACGAATGGAAAACTAGTTTGAAGTAAATGTGACACGGGTTTATCAGTTTGGGATTTTCTGTGACATGAAAATTAGTGTGGGGTAAATGTGGAACAAGTCTAGCAGTTCGAGATTTTTTATATTATTAACTGAAGTAAATATGGTTTTGAATTTTGTGTGATGATTAATTTTCATTATTAGCATGAAAGTTAAAAGGTAACCCACTAAAAGCAATTATAATATGTGGATGATTTGTACAAGTATCAAACAAAGATGTGCAAATGTAATAAGTATCGTTAATTAAGAAAAACTAAATATAAACATTGGGATGCAAAACATAATGAAATGGCAAGACTATTGAAAAAAAAATGCTACCAATGCTTTCCAGTGAGCATATTTTTGCATGAAGGAAAATGTAATCAACTGAATAGAACACTGCGTAGAAGTGAAAAAAGAAAGGTATCTATGAAGTTATCGACAAAATTACAATAAATATACAAGAAACTTATAATGTAATAAGAAGTAGCATCTCATCTGAAAGAGTAAAAGTTTGAAGGAAAAGTTGAAACCACCAAACAAATCTGTATTATTGACTCTCGTGATTTGCGCTCAGTGTGCAATTCATCACCCAAAACAAAAAACGAATTTGAGTTTCCTAAAATATTAGGTTACAACAAAAGAAAAATGTAAAAGACTAGAGTTCCTTAAGAATACAATTGTATCAATCTTCATATCCAATCTGTTCATACGGAAGATCTCATTAATCTATGGGACAATTGTTCAAAATTTAGATGACTACTACTAACCGTAACAAAATCAACACAACAATGAAAAGATAGCGTCAAACATCTATAGTAATAAAAAGAAAGTAAGAATCATGTATAGAACAGTCGATATTATCAATTTTCCTTCCACGTACAATGCAAAACCCTTAACGATGAAACATATGATAAGAAAGGAATGTAAAACACATGTACCTTTTGCGATGACATTCTCGTTTTCATTTAAAAATTTAGAATTGCAAACGAAATATACTAGAAAGAATGGGGGGACTCTACAATTGGGACTCATTAATTTTGATACATGTTTTGATGGCAAGTTTAATGGATGTATTTTGACTCTTAAGAGTCGTATTGGTTCACATATACAGGATAGGAGTCAATGTAGTGTTATTTCACATATAAATGGCATGAATTTTCATAGATATATTTGATTTAGTGTATGCACGAAGAGAGGCCTTCTATTATAATTGCAAATGGATGCAAAATTTGGGCATTCAAAAGGTGCAAATTGCGAGGGGCATAATTGGAAGAGGAAAAAGTTCAGGAACAACCGCTTGAGCTTCACATCTTTACATAGATTAGATAAATAGTATGCAACTGCAACCTTTCATTTCACAAAATTTGAAGTAAAAGCCTACGCCATAGTAGTATGATAGCAAATTGAAATCAGTGCATTTTATATTACATCAGTTGATCTCATCTCATCATTTAAAACTTATGGTCCCGAATGTTTCCAAGTTACAGGGCACTAGAAAGATTGAGGCACTTTCTCTTGGCAAATGTGGTATAGGAAGAAGATACACAGCCGAACAATTTAAAGAAATGACCAATTTAAGGTTCCTTCTAGCGGATGGTGTGAATTTCACCGGAGATTTCCAAAGCTTACTTCCTAAATTAAGATGGCTTCAGTGGGTGGGTTGTCCCTCGGATTTCGTTGCGACCAACTTTCATCCGAAGAAATTAGTTGTACTTGATCTATCATGCAGTGCAATTTCGGAGGACTGGGGAGGATGGGTTCCACTCAAGGTAAGATGTAAGGAAGGCATTGAAGTTTTTTCAATATAACATTTTTTTTCTTGTACATATAACATTTGAAAATTGATTTTCATAATTAAACTAGTCGTTTCTCTTTAATCTCATACTATTGAAGGAATACATGGTGCCCAATGAATGCATCTCTCTTCCATGTGAATTAGTCATCTGCTTTTTGATAATAAAAGTTGCTTATATTTAATCAGTAAACATTCCCTTTGAATTGTTATTTAGAAATATATGTAGTTGGCACCTGTACATCCCCAACATTCTTTTGCAATTGATATGCCTAAAAAACATTTATATGTTGGCGTAGCCAAACACTACAAAAAAAGTCATTTAAAATTAAATAAGACAACCATGAAGGAGTCGAGGATCATGGGTATCTTTTGGGGAATTCTAAAAAGTCAAAACATTAGGAGTAGTGGAAAATCACAGGCTGCCAGAGCCCAATGACATTGAGGTACCATTTCTTTTTTTCAGATGGTAACCAAGCTCAAAGTTCTCAATCTCGGGAATTGTCTATCTTTGAGAAGAACTCCCGACTTGTCCGTTTTCGAAAGCTTGGAGATTTTGATTCTTGCAGATTGTGAGAATTTGAAAACGATTCATCCTTCTATTGGGGACATCAAGACCCTCATTTCCTTGGATGTCTCTAATTGTAAAAGACTTCAGAAGCTACCGGTAGGAGTAGGTAGGATGGTAAAATTGAGGGATCTTCGCATTAATGGCACTCATATACAAAAGATTTCTATTTCGAGAGGTTGTTTGATGAAGCTAGAGACTCTATGTGCCAGAAGTTGTGAACGACTTTCTCAACTTCCTAAATCTATGGGGTCCCTTGTCTCGTTAACTCTATTGGACTTATCTTGTTCAGAAATTGAAGAATTACCTGAATCAATTGGTTCTATGAAGGACCTCAAGACTTTGAATGCCTCTAAATGTAGACGGTTAGCTCGCATACCTAGCTCCATAGGCAATCTAGCATCCCTACAAAGCTTGTTCTTATATTACTGCTCCTCATTGACAGAGATCCCTGACTCAATTGGAAAATTGGCATCATTGACCGAGCTGGACTTAGGATACACATCAATTACGAAATTACCTGAAAGCATTGGGAATATGCCAAATTTGAGGATCTTGAAAATTATTGGAACTCACGTAACGGAATTGCCTAATGCCATCGGGAAGTTGGCAAAACTCCAAAGGTTGGGAGCTAGATTATGCAAAAAACTAGAACGACTTCCTAGTAATATATGCGAATTGGTTTCGCTAGAGGAGCTTTCTTTAGACTTTTCAGGCATTTCAAACTTGCCGGAAAGCATTTCTAAGCTCTCTTCTCTTCAAGAGCTTGGTGTTGAATATTGTGAAAAGCTTCGAGAAATACCAGAACTGCCCTCTGGCTTAACAGATCTAAGGATCATCTGCCAGAGTCCGCCGTTGCCCCATCTTTCCCAGCTAACCCGTCTCACGAAACTCACTCTTTGTAATTGCCCCTGGCTTGAACGTGTCCCAGAGCTTCCCATTGGACTATCGCAGCTAAATATTATAAACTGCGGAAAATTGAAAGCGTTCACGAATTTGTCAAACTTGAAGCACTTATCAATGATTCTCTACAATTGCTTTGATCTCGCGAAAGTCACCGGCTTGGAAGGTTCACATTGCCTATCCAACTTACCTGCAGGGCAATGCCCTAAGATATCTAGGGTTGATGGGATTGAAGATTCTTCGACGTTGATGAGCCCAAATGCATCTCAGCTCAATGTATCGCTAGATCTTTCCGATTCAAAGATTCTGCAGAGAATGGACGCCGGAGCAAGTTGCGCGAATTCAGTTGAAATCCAAGACCCTGGTGGATCAAAATCCTCTCAAGTGTCGGATATCCTTAAGTGCACGTCCGCCAGACGATTGCTAGACTTTTCTAGTTTTAAATACCTGAGTAGCCTTACTGTTTTGAGTTGCAATAGTGTAACTGAAATTCAAGGCCTCGATGGATCAGAATCCTTGACATTTTTGTGTTTTGGCTGTTGCTCTTCCCTTAGATCAGTGGACCTCTCGAACGTAAAGAATCTGTGGCATTTTTCTTCTTGGAGTTGCAAAAATTTAGTTGAAATTCGAGGGCTCGAGGGATTAGGACCATTGCGGTCATTCCATATTTCTGGAAGCCCGTCTCTTAGACAATCATCGGACCTGTTGCGTTTAAGGCAATGATTCGCGACGTAGGGTGGAGGTGGTGATGGGGGGATCCGCTTGGAAGTGGAGTCCCGGAGGGAGGTCGGAAGGAGGGAGAGAGGTAGTGGTCTGGGCCAGTAGGGGAGGATCACAGACAGAAGGTGTTTCGGATCTCCTCCCATTTCCTCTTTTATTTTCTCTCTCATCATCAGTTGCGTTCAAGAGAAGGAGAGGGAGGGAGAGAACGGAAGAAGAGCAGAAGTTTTCGCGACTGAGGGAAGGGGTTCACCGAGTCCTCTCTCGTACGGAAAAAAGCGATGGGTGCTGGCAGACTTCTTGCCGATTCCTCGAGCTCGCCTTCCGATATCTAGGAGCGGATCGAGATTGGTTAGTTCTTCTTCTTTTGATCGAATCGTCCTTTGCGAGCAATTGTCCAATTTCGATGCTTGATTCGCCTGCCTGGTTACTTCTTCTTCTTCTTTTTCCTCTAATGAAGGAAAGGTTGGAGTTGATGATGTTCCTGCGGAAGTCTAATGGTTGCTCCTTTGTACGTATAATGTATGTATACAAAGAAAAATATGTAAACAGCGAAGGGATGGCCTAGTGATATCCTTTCTGGAAGGGTACTTGTGTTTACTTATGAAGTGAAATTGCTTGATATCGGCGAGTCTTCATCACCTAAGTAGTACAAAGTCAGTTTCCACCATAACCCCTTAGCTCTGGAGGAGACAGCAAACTCAATAGATAGAAGTTTTCAGGGTTTGGTGAATTCAGTACTTGGTGCTCCTCTTTGTTCTTATTCCGGTCAATAGATTTGTTTTAGGATTTGAATTTATCTTGTATAGGGATGGATTCTTTTTACATAATAAAGAAACCTGGGAGACAAGAAATTGAGATTGGGTGCCGGAAGGGGCGATTCTTTATACCGGGAGTAAGAATAACCTTTTATTGCTGGAGTTGGAAGTGGGCTCTACCTTCATAAAAGCTTGGGTTGGGGTAAATGGAAGGTCTTCTGTGCCTCCACAAACAGCAGTGCAGCACAATGCCAACACCTTTGTACGGCAAGCATCGTTTACAGCTGGGGACGGAATTCTTTTTTACGTAATAGTGTATAGCTCTTTATTTTTTCTATTTTTTTTCATCCTCCTGTCTTCTTCTTTTCACTGCCATCATCTGGTTTTGTGTTTGCTTTATTCTCTTCTTTACTTATGCCCCAGATGCTTCTCTAGTTAACTTTCTTTAAGAGGTACGATGGCTTCTTCAGTGATGTGCTTCTGCTGTGGTGATACTCATGTTTTTGTCTTCTGCTTTTGAGCTTCATTCCCTCTTTTCCAAGATAACATACAGGTGTTAGTACAGAAAGAAGATCAAGAATCTATCACTTTAGACCTTAATTTTCTGTAGAGTCGTATGATCATTGATCCAAAGTATGGTCCAATTTCAACCACTTAGGATCCATCCTAACAACCTTTACCTTAAGGGTTAGATGTTATACTGCAGGGATTGCCTCCCATATGTGTACTGATTAGATCATGAACAGTCGTTTTGTGTAGCTGTGACATGTCATCTATGTATAACTATCTAAAAAACGAATGTGCTTGGCCTATCTACATGAGAATTGGCTCTAGGCAATCTGTTGGGATGCAGGTTCTCGGGCCTGGTGCTTATGCTCTAGAATCTAGTATGGTGGACTCCTCTCAAATCTAGTATTGTGGGATCCTCTTCAGTTTCTCACCTTGTGTTTCTGGATTCTCTCCCATGATTGCCTCAAATTTTCACTTTTTATTCTCCTACTCATTTATGAATCGCGTTACTTTTTTATCATGTCTAGTTCAGGATACATTTCATGATATGTCCTTTATGGGGATTTTATAGTGCTTGTGCTGTTTGCAAGTTTTCAAATGGCTGGGATCCTCTTTATAGAGATACCTGTATTTGTATTGCACCTTGCTATTGTCCCTTTTGGTTCCTTTTTTGATCATATTTTCATTCTAGAGTGACAAATTTTCCATGCTGTTAATCAATAGTTCAAATCTAAGTTTTAATTGTGATCTAGACATTATCAAGTCATTCACTTGATTGGCTAGTGACCTACATGTCGCTGTTTTCTTATCACCAGGCTGTGACAGCAATGCTGCAGCAGGCTACGCAATATGTTGACCAGACACCTGATGTTGAGACCAAGATAGAGCTTATACGACACTTGACTCTGTCGCCGCTGGGAAGGTGAATATGTGAGATCAAACTCTGTTGCAGCTTATGTTCATCAGCAATCTGCTTTTGTTTCTTGGTTTCTGTAGCTAGTTTCGTAATGCAGATATATGTCAAAATTAAGAGAGCACGGTCGATCAAGAAACTTGCAATAGAAAGGAAGAACAAGGTCTTATAGCAGAAGCTACTGATTTGATGCAAGAAATCAGGGTAACTAGAAGTTGACTTATGTTGTCACTGATCTCGTAATTGGTTTTTCCTTGTCCAACATTCCTATGATGGGTTTGAAATGCAGGTACAAACTTTTGGAGCAACGGCAAGGACGGACAAAATTGCCTTTATTTTTGAACAAGTATGGGTTTTTTGTATTGCTTTTGGCTGATTATGCACTATTACTATGATTGGTTTTCTGATCGATGGATTTTGCAGGTTCGTCTGTGCATAGATCTCCAGGATTATGTCTGTTCACATATCCTTTCCAGGAAGATTGGCCCCCGAGTGTTTGATACAGATCCTTCCAAAGAGAAGAAAAAGCCTAAAGAAGGTGAAAACATTGTGGAACAAGCGCCAGCTGATATTCCGTCACTTCTGGAGTTGAAATGGATATACTATGATTCATGGGTACGGTGAATTGGTGTTTTGCTTTTCCTAATGTTGTGTCCACGGTCTTTTTAACTAATTTGTTTTTGCCGATCAAGCACCACCTGGTATTCAGGTTGTGGTTCAAATTATGAACTTGTATGGCTTTATATATCTGGCACATACTCTTCATCCTTTCTAGCTTTATCGCAAACTTTGACGTTCCAGATGTACTTGATGGATTTGAACTCGCATCTTAGTTTAGCCTGCATTTATGTGGTTAACGATGTAGGTATAGGTATGATTCACATAACAATGATTACCTTGAGATTTGTCGATACTATAAGGCGATATATGAGATTCCATCAGTGAAGGGCAACCCGAAGCAGTGGATACCGGTGAAGCTCTTTCCTTGTTAAGTCTTCACTGAGTTTTTCAAGGTGCAGCTGTTCATTGTGTGATTTAATTAAATGCTGGTTCTAAGGAAAATCTGCTGGTACTTAATTTTATCACCACATGATCCTATGCAGTCAAGCCTTCTTAATGCCACTTTAGAGGATAAACATTTCTCAGAAATTCCCCAATTCAGGTACCATCTTTGAATTGTTCTAGGTAATTGGTTGTACATCTTGCGATATCTGAATAACGTGCCATAGAATTTGGTCAACCATGCCTTTGATATTTTAACGCAGGTTGCTGCTGAAACAATTGGTCACAATGGAGGTTATCCAATGGACTCCTCCTTAAAGCACTTTCAAAGATAATTTAAGAATGAGAAAAACACACTCAGAGGTGAACTTGCAGAGAAGGCAGCAGAAAATCTTAGACAGAGAATCATCAAACATGTAATTACAAAACTTTCTCATTTTCTTTTCATTGGATTATCATTCAGATGTGACTCACTCTATTTTCTGCAGAATATATTGTCGTTCCGAAGTATTACTCGAGGATTACCTTGAAGATACTTGCAGAGCTGTTGTGCCTCATCATCCAGGTCTGATTGTGTTGAACATTTGTTTATATTCTTTATTGATGTAAATCTTTTTGAATGATTGCCTAGACCCCTCATTTAACCTGAGCAGCCTCTCTGCCTTAAATCCCTGATTGGGGCCTGGTTGCTGGACTTGGATACAAGCTCCAAAATAGTGGAAAATAGGTTTTGGCGCCTTGAAAGCCAAAGGCTTGTCACGGATTTGAGAATGTTGTCTTCATAGTCTTGTTTTGTAAGCATTTCTGACCGACATATATGTGTACACTTGGCTTAGTCGACTTCTGCTCATAAATTTGTTGTAGCTATAAGTGTCATTGCCTGGCATTGTGAAACCATTTCTTGTCCCATGGAGCCTGATATTCTAATGTACTTTAGAAAGGTGGGAGGAGCTCTGCTATATCGCTAAAAATAGCTGAGCAAGCTTTTTCTGCTAGTATTAGCACTCACCATTTCCTGTGTTACAAAAGTATATCTCGCTAGAGATCTTGATTAATCAGTCATGGAAAATAGCTCTGTTTTTGGTTTCTCTTACTGCTGTTGTTGAGAACTTTAATGAATCACATGGCTCAATTTATTAAATCAACACTATCATCTAATAAAGAGACCATATAATGATAATTATACAAGCTTGTATGATAATTTTTCAGCATGACCTCTTACTTCTATATTACCGTTTTGGGGAGCTGAGAAGCATCTCTCCTTAATGGTTATTTCCAAGTCCCTGGTGGCAAAGGCCAATGGGAGTTGTCAGTTTCCAAACGACAAAGGACAGCAATGACATTTTGAACTCACGGGTGACATTTGGAAAAGCTGCTTGATCTTGTCGAGAAAAGTTGCCACCAAATCCCCAAGGAAACCACGGTCCATAGGCTGCTTTGAGAGCTTGAAGATGTTTTTGATTGAATGAATGATATCTCTCCCCTCGAGCCTCTCTCTCTCTCTCTCTCTCTCTCTCTCTCCAATAGAAAGAAGCTGAAGAATGCTGTTTCACATTGTACTCTGAAGTGGGGACTGAAGATATTCATCATACAACTCTCGTGTAGCTGGCTTAAATTTGATTTCATATTTTGCAGGGGGATCATATCTGGTCCTCGGACTGAAATGATAATACTGAACGCACTTTCTGCATACGAATGTTGTCTTTTCGTCTTTCCTCTTTCCTCATTCTAGAACTCGTACCTATGGAACAGGTATCCGCACAAGATGTGCATTCATTAGGACTGAGATGAGCGCTTTGTTACTGAATTCTGTTCCGCCTTATGGCTTGAAGTATGAACCCGTCAAAATGTGCATTTGGTGCAACAATTTTGGCTGGTGCTTGTGTTTTTCTAACTTCCGGGATAACATTACCTATCCAAGAATAAAGGCTAATGAATGCGATCCTTTTATGTCACTTGCACATTTGAAATGAGCACCCGTTTTGAGGGAGCTTCATTTTAGAGGTGCTCATTTCAATAAGGTAACTGCACTTTTTATCTCCTCAAAGGTCGTTGTTTTTCTCCAAGTCGATACTTGATATCTATCTATCATTTTATCAAAGAGTGCCATTATCGAATTTACTTCGCATAAGTCGGACAAAGAAAATTATTGATTTTCAATGTACTAATTTTTCTCGTTATATGTGCCATCAATGTTTTGAAAATTACATCAATCATCGTAAAGTTACACAAAACATCATTATTGAGGTCCTTTTTAACATGGGCAATTAATTATTTATGAGAAGTAAATGGTTTTGTTTTTTAGAAAATGTAATTTTCAATTTAAAGTGGCCAGAAACACACGTTTTACTTTTAGTTTTTTTTTTTTGTGTTCAAATACTACTTTTAGATGACTTAATTAGTGTTGCAGTGTAATTGCCAACGCCTTATTTCAAATGTAGGAAAAATTTGAGGTAACGCACATCATCTGAAGATCTATTTTTGCCATGTACTTGGAAACCAATTAAAATTCTGAAAAAATAAAAACTTCTATAAAGCATTCAAAAACATTTGATTTGATGTGTCGGGTGAGAACCGACTTATAAATATTATACATACTTTGCACTTATAAATGTACGTGAATTTGAAGATTCATGTCGGGCGAGAACCGACTTCTAACTCACCTAGAACATCGCTGACCTCGAACGCGTGTTGGCTTGCCCAATCGGTATATGCGCCGGCGCTAGAAGGGATCTTCCATCCCCCAGAACCTCCCACCGTGTAATTCGTCGCCTTGGCGCCCGATAAAAGCACGACCGTGACCGCGGGTGCGCAGGTTGTGACTTTCGCGTTGGCCATTTTTGGCTCAGCTTGTGTTACGATTTGAAGCCCAGGTCGCCCCGCCAAAAAGACTCTGTGCTCCTTGTTTGTCAAAGGCGTGATTGGATTTAATACTGAGTCGGTACCGATAAGAGGCTGCATTATGCTGGACATGTAGTGGGGCACATGAATTGATTGGTTTTGACTGATTATCTTTATCTTCCGCGTAGTCGGTGATGGAGTCTGGGATTTTAAAAAGTAAAGTCAAATATGAAAGCATTCACATTAGTATTCTGGTGTAATTAAAATATTTTTTTAAAATAATTTTGAATGAATACTACTCTCTCTCTATGTGTATGTGTGTGTGTGTGAATCATAAGTATGTTTAAAACAGTTAATATAAAAGAAAAATTAGATAAAATAAAGTATTCATGTTCAGAAGACCTAGCGAATGTTGACTCATAAGTGTTCATTTGTGCAAAAACAAAGTTGTTCGACAAACCTTAAAGCGCAGATGACTAATCCGAATGTTAACGAATGATCCGAGCCCAATGAATTCACGTTGTGTCCTTAAGACAATTTGTCCTCTCCACCGGTACCCAAGGTTCTTGAACAATTGTCTCCCAGGATAAAATGGATTGCCTTTCCTATGAAGTGGTACTTCTTCAAAGGAAACCTTTGAACGCAACTTTGCAGGTTAATCGCACGAAAATGACAATAATGAAGAATAAGAGAGCAGCAGAAAAATGCCGCACCAAAACACAAATGTATTTTGTTTTATTTAAAAACAATGAAAAGTCACGAAGAACCAAAAAGTTTCGTTCAGTTCACGAACAGACATATCTGTCCGAAAATAAACGGGCGAACAATCACGAACAAACATATCTGTCAATAAAATAAAATAAAATTCCGAATAGATATGTCTGTTCGGTGAAAAACAAAACTATCTGAACCACACTTCTCATTCACCTTCTATGGGATTTGGATACCAAAGTCCCAATAATCCCCCATATGAATGGGAAGTTTAGATATCATGACTCTTCGTGCATGCATGAGATGCAATGTGCGATTATTCCATGAGAGAACGCTGAATTGGGATAAGTAGTCGGAGACTTTGAACTTTCCCTAGTGAGACCTATTGGACTTACTCGGTCAATCAGTAGACTTGATGTCTTTGAACTATCGACCTTCGGTGTAAGTCAAGACAATAGGAATCACACAACTATCTTTTAAACAAAATTAGTTCTCACTGCTACGTTCGTTTTGGCCGTGAATACCGCCCGGTTTCATGAGTGCTTTCAAGAATTCGGACTTTCAAATTCTTCATAGAAGCGGCCCTCACTTCACACTCACATAGGTGATTTCTGAATGTGTGGTATAACACATACCCGAAACAGAATCATTAAAAGCTTACACTTAACCTTCACATGTCAATACTGTCTCCATACGGGAATGAGTAAGAGTTGACAGTACTCTACACTACCTGCATAACTTTGTTGTCCCTTTGAACCTAGATCTTGGGATCTCCAGTCAACTAGGTAGGGTTTCCGCTATGATGACTTAATTTATAGGCCTTAAACCCATTCCCCTTGATGTTTTCACAACCATCTCTCTAGTTAGGCTTTTTGTTAATGAATCCATAACATTATCTTTTGACTTCACAAAGTCAATCGTGATAATTCCACTAGAGAGTAGTTGTCTTACAGTATCGTGTCTTCGACGTATATGTCGGGACTTCTCGTTATACATGACATTCCTTGCCCTGCCTATTGCCGCTTAACTATCACAATGAACACACACAGCTGGCACTGGTTTAGGCTAATTAGGAATGTCTTCTAAGAAATTTCGAAGCTACTTAGCTTCTTCACCGGCCTTATCCAAAGCAATAAATTCTGCTTCCATAGTAGACCTCGCAATACAAGTTTGTTTGGATGATTTCCAAGACACTGCTCCCCCACCAAGTATAAACACATACCCACTTGTGGATTTTGTGTCTCTTGTGCCGGTTATCCAATTTGCATCACAGTATCCTTCAAGTACCGCTGGATACTCTGTGTAGTGCAAAGCAAAATTTTGAGTATGCTTCAAATAACCCAACACACGTTTCATAGCTCTCCAATGATTTTCATTTGGATTAACTGTAAATCGACTTAGCTTGCTCATAGCACAAGCTATATCCGGCCTAGTACATTTCATGACATACATTAGACTGCCTAGTATACTAACATACTCATTTTGAGCTTTGCTTTTACTAGTATTCTTTAAAAGATATAAATTAACATCTACCGGGGTCTTTACTGGTACAATGTCTAGATTCTTGCACTTTCCAAGAATCTTCTCAATGTAATGAGACTATGATAGAGCTAATCATCCAGATGTCTTATGGATTTTAATCCCTAAAATAACATCCGCAACCCCCATATCTTTCATATCAAATTTACTTGTGAGCATGCGTTTGGTTGTCTTGACAACCTCACTATTACTACCCATTATAAGCATGTCGTCTACATACAAGCACAAAAAGGCAAAACCATTATGAGTGTTCTTAACAGATACACATTTATCACACTCATTAATCTTAAAACCATTCGACAACATGACTTGGTCAAATTTAGTATGCCATTGTTTCGGTGCTTGTTTCAAGCCATAGAGTGACTTGATCAGCCAACACACTTTCTTCTCTTATCCTAGAACATTGAACCTCTTCAAGTTGTTCCAAATATATTTCTTCTTCCAAATCCCCGTTTAAGAAAGCCGTTTTCACATCCATTTGATGGATTTCAAGCCTGTACACCGCTGCTATGGCAATTAGCATTCTTATAGATGTAATTATAGTAACAGGTGAATAAGTGTCAAAATAATCAAGACTTTCTCGTTGCTTGTATTCTTTTACTACAAGCCTAGCCTTATATTTATCAATAGTACCATCCGCTTTCATTTTCCTCTTGAAAATCCATTTACATTGTAGTGGTTTATAACCAAGAGGAAGGTTAACCAATTTCCAAGTATAGTTTGACAAGATGGATTCAACTTCACTATTGATAGCTTCTTTCCAGAACGGGGCTTCTGGGGATGTCACAGCCTCTTTAAAAGTCTGAGACTCATTCTCTAACAAATATGTTAGAAAATCAAGTCCAAAAGACTTAGAAGTTCTTTGTCTTTTACTACGTCTAGGTTCATTCTCCATAGGATTGCTTCTAGGTGTAATATCCTGAGGCCTCTTATCATTGTTAATTGGCTCATATACTATATTATACGGAAATATATTCTCAAAGAATGAAGCGTCCCTTGACTCAATGATCGTATTAATATGTATATCTACGACCTCAGACTTATGAACAAGAAATCGATATGCATTACTATTAATAGCATATCCAATGAAGACAAAATCAATGGTTTTCGGTCTTCTCTTAACCTTTTTAGGTTTAGGAATCGCAACTTTAGCCAAGCACCCCCACACCTTGAGATATTTCAAATTAGGTGTTCTACCTTTCCACTTCTCATAGGGAGTTTGTTTTGCCTTTTTGTGGGGTACTCTAATTAAGACAAAATTCACCGTCAAAATAGCTTTCTTCCACAAATTCTGTGGTAAACCGAAACTAATCAACAATGCATTCATTGTTTCCTTTAAAGACCGGTTTTTCCTTTCCGCCACTCCATTAGCTTGTGGCGCATAAGGAGAAGTAATTTGGTGAATAATACCAAACTCAAAACAAATTTCTTTAAAAGGAAATTCATATTCACCTCTTCTATCACTTCTTATCATTTTAATTTTCTTATTTAACTGAGTTTCAACTTCAGACTTATAAGTTCTAAAAGCATTCATAACCTCATCTTTGTTACTAAGCAAATAAACATAACAA